CATGCTGAATTTGAGAAACACCCCAATTGATTCAAAGATCAACAAATCCCCAGCAGAATTACTTATGGGTAGAAAACTGCGATCTAAAATTCCTACCAGTGGTGTTCTACTGAATCCCCAAAGCCCAGATCCCAACGTTCGCACTAAACTTCAGCAGAAAAAGCAGATGGAGAAGAGAAAGTATGACCTCCGCGCTCGTCCCCTTGCCCCTCTTCAACCTAATACCCCTGTCAAAGTCCGTGAGAAAAGGAACAATAAATACATCTGGAGAAATGCAACAGTGACTGAGAAACTAGACTCGCCCAGATCATATCTAGTTGAAACCCCAGATGGAGGACAATTTAGAAGGAATAGGAGACATTTAATTCCAGCATAAAATGTGTGAAATGACTATCATTAGTATAGTGTAGACCCAAGACTGGAAGTGAAATGGAAATATCCATATTTGCAATGAAGGTCAAGGATAGACCAAATTAGCATATCAAAATAAACATTGTAGTAAGACTGTAGTAAACTCTTAGGTCAAGAACCTCATTAGCATGTAGTACAAACATATGCACTGGACATTTTATCAATGAATACTAAAGTTCATGAGACAGGTCAGATAGTTCAAATTACATGGCTAGTAAAGTTTAAATGAGCTCCCTTACAAAATATTCAGAATTAGTAATGATCATATTTCAATGAGATGACTGTTAAAAGTTTAACTTGTTTTTAAACTAAAAGAAGGGAGATGTTATGTATCTGGTTTCAGTACTGGTCATTAAGATATCTGATACCCTTAACTGAGATTACCATGCCTATAGCAGACACTTGTAAGTCTGGCTTCCTACTAGAAACACATTAACTATGTAGTTCTTATATTATGTTTGATGTATAATAAAGTCTTGATACAAAACACAACATATATGTCAACACTACCCTTGGTAATATGAGTAATGTGTGACATCAAGAGGGCTGTAGTAATGGCAGACCATAAGTTGAATATTCGAAAAATTTTGGGGAGTTTTCATGTTTGAATTGTAATATATACCTCAGAGCAGGTGTAATATTGACAATGACCCCTTAGGGCTAGGTACAAAAGTTTTCGAACCCCTCACTCCCTTGCATAGCCATGTGGAGTGTATTTGTCAATATAACACCTGCTCTTCAGTCTATATTTCTTAAATAATAGAAGTATAGATGACAGTGATCTTCCAAGCATTAAAGCAAGTGGGCGCAGTACCCACCTGAGATTTTGAAAATAGGTTTGTACCCACCTTAAAATCCATATGCACCCACTTGAAAGTTATGAGAAATCATGAAAAATTGGCATATTTTGACCAATTTTGGTCTAAATTGTGAAAATGAAAATTTTGTACCCACCTAAGAAGAAATCCTGAGGAGATCACTGGATGATCTTAACACTCAAGTTGACCTCTGTTTGTAGAGAATGAACCATATACTGTTGTTGGGGAGATTCCCACTTTTGATCACTTATGTAATTGTTTGGTCTTGGATACTTACCTATCATGTTTATTGTAATATCCTATATATTGAGATGAATATGAAGAAGACCTAGAATATGTACATGTTCCTTAGTAAATCCAGAACGAAGTATTATGAGCCCCCTTCCAGTTTCTATTACTAGCCCCCCCCCCTCTCAACCTGCCTCTCATGCAATAACTATTAAACTCAGATGTCACTGGTCAGTATCGAGCGATGGTATATGCCATATAAGCCTGGTTTAGTTCAAATATCAAAGTATTACATCGACTATAAAGTAGTTTAAGTCAATGAAAACTATAAATATCTTCTCAACTGACACCAGTGAGATGTACATTATTTACCTGAAATGGTTGATATTAAGCATAATCAAAGAAGTATAAATGATAAATATATATATATATATCTTGAAAATTCTACTTAAATCCTGTATTTATAGAGAATGGAAATCATCTACTATTATGAAGGTGATGATGCCTACTTTTGATCACTTATGTAATGGTATGGTCTTGGACACCAATCATGTAAGAAGACCCAGAAGATGTATTCTTTGAATATCCAGAACTATATAAATGAGAATTATACTAAGGCTAATTAGCTCTGCCCCCTCCAAATTCTGTTACTACCACCCCCCCCCTCCGCTCCCCATGCAACAACTTTTACACTTATATGTACATTATTTACCAGAAATGCATGATATTAAGTATATTTAAAGAACTTCAATATAAATGTATCGCAACAGTCAAGTTAAACTCTGTCTTTTCAGAGAATGGTAATCATTTACTATTATGGGGGCGACGCCCACTTTTGATCACTTATGTAGTAGTATGGTCTTTGACACTTACCAATTATATAAATTGCAATATCCTTTATGCTTAAACAAATGCTTGAACTTCCCTGGCCATTTTGGGTGTGCTAAAATATTCTTATATCTGTTGATTTGAAAAATAATCCTCATTCTATATTATGTCCCTTTACAGGTTTGGCCAAAATTAAGGATTTTTCAATGAAAATTGTGGTTTCCATGGCAACCATGAGTGACAGGTACGTGATTGAACCTTAACATACTACCTCAGCATGATCCAATCAACTCCCCATAAAATTATTATGATGATTGAAGACCAACTGAAGGATTTATTCAATGATGATAAAGTACCCCCTGTAATTTTCCATTTTAGGGTCGAAAACGCCAATTTGACAATTTTCGCCCCGGATACGGCGCGTCAGACAAACATTTTCTGAAGTATCACATAAAAATACATAAGAAACAAGTAATTTCAATTTGTTCACGAACTAATACATTTTTGGGTGCTAGCTTACTACCTATAGCCATTAGGGTATTTACGTTCATTTTCACCGAGATGACTGCATCATCAAAATTTCACAGACAAAATATTGCTTCAAACATTTATTTAATATAAACTGTGAAAATAAGGTCAATGACAGCTGTTTGTTGCTTTCAACTCCATATTTGCCTCACCCATTATTTGCCGCACCCATTATTTGCCTCACTCATTATTTGCCTCACCTATTATTTGCCTCACCCATTATTTGCCGCACCCATTATTTGCCTCACATATTATTTGCCTCACCCATTATTTGCCTCACCCGTTATTTGCCTCATCTATTATTTGCCTCACATATTATTTGCCTCACCCGTTATTTGACTCACCTATTATTTGCCTCACCCATTATTTGCCTCACCTATTATTTGCCTCACTCATTATTTGCCTCACCTATTATTTGCCTCACCCATTATTTGCCTCACCTATTATTTGCCTCACCCATTATTTGCCCCACCCATAAATTGCCTCACCCATTATTTGCCTCACCTATTATTTGCCTCACCTATTATTTGCCTCACCCATTATTTGCCTCACCCATTATTTGCCTCACCTATTTTTAGATGATCCTCAGATTACTCTGATTTTAGTCATTTTTCTAGTAACATATAAAAAGTACGCTTTCTCTGAAATAATGAAATCTGAACCAGACAATCAGGATTTTAAATCTAAAAAATATGGAAACCAATAAAAAAGCAATAAAATTGATTTTGAGGCAAAGTAGATAAACATGTTAAACATTGTTTTTGCATCTATAATAAAAACAAATCTGATATGATGCTGAAATTGATATATGACACAAGTTTTCCTCATCACAGTCGAGACAGGGGAAAACCAAAATACAGATATATGTGAGAAAAATGTATATAAGCGAGGCAAACCTTAGGTCAAAGAGAATATACTTCTATGGGGCATAGTTATCAAATTTTAGTCCAAAATGTTGACAAAATATATATTTTTGTAAAGTTTTAGTCTCATTAGTGACACCCATGCGCGGTTATCAATTTGAATATTAATTGATGATGTTATAGCAATACCCTTTTTTATTAATATTATTACTTCTATAATTGATGAGTATGATTAAAGTAAAGGATGCGGACAGACATAAATCATATCTCCACCATTAACTGAATATAGTCTGAATATAGCCTTGGTACGGCAAAACAAAGGCTGTCTTTTATGAAGAAACCTCAAGCATTAATATCACATAATATCATTAACACGCATGACTGAGGAATCAAAGACATTCATTAATCAAAAATAAATATTTTCAGGAATTCAGGACAAGAGTCAAATAAGGCAACACATTATATATGTAAAAATCAAGAATTCCCCGTCTCCGCATCACAATAATGAAACATAAAACATGTTTTTGCCTATTTTTCTTAAAAAATATTGAAATTACAGAAGTCTTGTTACAGTCTAAGAATTGTGTCTGACAGTGTAAGAATTAAATTAATCAAGAACTCAGATTCAATAATCATTACAGTGAGATAAAACTGTGTTAATGTGCAATATATTACTGTTAGGCATCAGTTCAGTTGCTTAAACATTTATAACATGACAATTCAAGAAGATTAATAATACAGCAGACAACCATTCCAGGTAATGATTGTGTATTATGAAAATAGCTGTCTACTTTTTCATTTTTACTTTTACTGGCAAAACAATATGTTTATCTTTGTTTTCTATTAACCCTTTCTCTCCCCTTCCACTTTATTTCTCAAGATATAATTATAAAACAAAATTTCAAAATCCTTACTGGTTTAAAAAAATTAACATATGGACACAAAATATTCATATTCAATCAATATATTAAATTAGAAAAAATCAAATAACAAAATATAATATAAATTCTTGTTGATCAAATCATAAGTTTTCTATAGTACAATACAATATTCATCAATATTATGAATGCTTTAACATGAACATGAACAAATTTAAATCATAAAAAAATTGAAGCTAACATAGACTTATCACTTGTCCTTGTTATTGTCACCAAAGCAGATTAATAACCACAAAGCTATAATAATTAAAATGCAATTATAAAGGTATTTGTTAGTTTTGCAGTTAGCATACTCAAACATAACTAGATTAATATGTATAAAGCAAATAATTATGTCAACTTCATACTAACTTACAATAATATGCATATATAAAACATACACTTACCGTTTGCCTGTTTTCTTCCTCCATTCTTTTTGATTTATTTTTTAGTTCATTCAGTGTGCCAGAAAGATCACTGGAAGTGGAATCCACCTTGGTCTTCATACTTCTAACTTCATCAGCGAGGTCATAACAGACCCGCTCGAGTTGATCCTTGGCACGTATCGTCTCATCAAGTTCAGTCTTCATCTCTTGGATTCTAAATGGAAAAAAATATTTTTTGAATTCACATCATTCTTTAGATCAAGAAGTAATACTCACATAAAACAGGATCAAATTTTACCCAAAAGTTTATTTTGAAAGGATTAATTCAGATAGAAATTATTGTAATTGTTCTGAAACATCAAAGTAAATAGTATCTGTACTTTATTACACAAGATTGAAAATATATCAACATCAAAATATAAAGTGATAGAGATGTCATTACTAATCAATTTATGAGTGGCATTACTTGAGATTTTGGGCATCCCTTCTGGTAACCAACTCTTGCTGACTGCCAATAACTGCCTGCTCTACCGCTTTTGTGTGATTAACCAATGACGACAAAGCAGACCTCTCATCCGCTAACTTCTCTTCAGCACGTTTTAATCTTGTGCTTAACTGTGCCACTAAGTCGTTATTTGCTCGCACAGAGTTCTCAAATTGCTGTCTTGAATATTTTTCTTCTCTTAATATATCCTCATTTTTTCTTACTGTGCCTTTTATTTCACTTTGTAATCGTATGACTTCCTCTAAGAGTGCTCTGTTTGATTTTTCAGTAACAGCCAATCGAGATTCTAGTTGTTTTACAGCGTCAGAGGAGGAATCGGGGTATTGCCCACCAATTCTAACAGGACTATCTTGTCTACCAGCCCCATATGGTATAACTTGGTTGTCTATACTTGGTTGTGGCGACCCGCGGGAATTTATACTTGGGAGAGTATTGAACTTTGTTGGGAACTGGGATCCCCTGAAAATAAATGATATGAACATTTTTATTTGACATAAATATAATAAGCTACAATATTATTCAATTCATTTATTTTGATCTTACCATCCTCCAAGGCCAGGTATTCCCCTGTATGCCATTTTTCAAATATCATTCAATTCATTTATTTTGATCTTACCATCCTCCAAGGCCGGTATTCCCCTGTATGCCATTTTTCAAATATCATTCAATTCATTTATTTTGATCTTACCATCCTCCAAGGCCAGGTATTCCCCTGTATGCCATTTTTCAAATATCATTCAATTCATTTATTTTGATCTTACCATCCTCCAAGGCCAGGTATTCCCCTGTATGCCATTTTTCAAATATCATTCAATTCATTTATTTTGATCTTACCATCCTCCAAGGCCAGGTATTCCCCTGTATGCCATTTTTCAAATATCATTCAATTCATTTATTTTGATCTTACCATCCTCCAAGACCAGGTATTCCCCTAGCTGTATGCCATTTTTCAAATTTCATTCAATTCATTTATTTTGATCTTACCATCCTCCAAGGCCAGGTATTCCCCTGTATGCCATATTTCAAATTTCATTCAATTCATTTATTTTGATCTTACCATCCTCCAAGGCCAGGTATTCCCCTGTATGCCATTTTTCAAATATCATTCAATTCATTTATTTTGATCTTACCATCCTCCAAGGCCATGTATTCCCCTGTATGCCATTTTTCAAATATCATTCAATTCATTTATTTTGATCTTACCATCCTTCAAGGCCAGGTATTCCCATGTATGCCATTTTTCAAATATCATTCAATTCATTTATTTTGATCTTACCATCCTCCAAGGCCAGGTATTCCCCTGTATGCTATTTTTCAAATATCATTCAATTCATTTATTTTGATCTTACCATCCTCCAAGGCCAGGTATTCCCCTGTATGCCATTTTTCAAATATCATTCAATTTATTTATTTTGATCTTACCATCCTCCAAGGCCAGGTTTTCCCCTGTATGACATTTTTCAAATATCATTCAATTCATAATATTTTGATTTTACCATCCTCCAAGGCCAGGTATTCCCCAGTATACCATTTTTCAAATATCATTCAATTCATTTATTTTGATCTTACCATCCTCCAAGGCCATGTATTCCCCTGTATGCCATTTTTCAAATATCATTCAATTCATTTATTTTGATCTTACCATCCTCCAAGGCCAGGTATTCCCCTGTATGCCATTTTTCAACAATAATATAATTTATCCTATGCAGTTACTTCTCTCAAACTTCATATAATCATAGTTGCTAGAGTGCATTTATATCCATATTTAATAATATTCATGATCCTGTATATAATCTCTTGAGTATATGTACCCATTAAGCACTGTGCACATTTATTAATTTATCAACAACTCTCACTGTAATCCTTTTACGAGTTTTCCTTTCCATGTAAACATATCCACATAATTTTATCTAACATGATCCTGGCCTTCAAAGTTCTGTAGACACACAGAAGAAATGTCAATATTTCAGCACTATGTAGTTTATTTACATATATCAATATTTAAGCACTTTGCAGTCTATTTACTTTGTTTTAGTGTTCATCAATTCAATTGAGCTGTTGTCTGACATTGAGAAAACTGTTTGTGTGATGTTGAAGGCTTGCTTATATCCTGATTATAGTCATCAATAATCTGGTTATGCTGAGAATTCAATTACTTCATTGTATAAAAATCAATTCGAGGATATACCTGCAGTGTCAATTTGGATCCAGTTGTAATTGTGTCGAACATTGCATTTTTGATTTTGGTATTTTTTTGTTACAATTCTCCATAACTAGGACAGTTAAAAATGTTCTAATTAAATCAACTTAATAACATTATGTATGTGAAGTTGTAAAAGTGTATTTACTTGCATGATTGAGTTTAAAGGTAAGGATTAAGGAAAATAGCTGCAATTGAGTCCCAGGAAAAAATAATTGTTAAGGGGACAGTAGACCCTGGGGAGAATGGGGTCATAATATTACTTGTTCATATACACATTCTCTGAATAATATGTATAGAATTAACCTCCCTCCCTACACTTCACATACATGTACACTTAAGGTAAGTGAATATAATAAGAAAATATGAACGCAAATCTAAAAGTTCTAAGTCAAGTAGCCATTTACTCATCCAACTCTGCTCACCTTAATTAACAAAAATACTCATTCTACTTTGTCAAGCCAGTAAGCATTCATAGATATAAAAGAGTAATTTGAGCGAGTGGAATTTAACCAGATTTTCATATAAGACACAGTTCTAATGGTACTCTAGCTAATATCAATTTCAAAGTCATATAAACTATGATGAAAATTATTTTCAAAATTGTTAAAGCGTATGTAATAGTGAGAGTGTGACGAACAACTGAAGATGATTTCAGGGTATCCAAGTAAATTAATTGAGGTAATTCTAACATGCATCATTAGATATTTCCCATTCATTTATTCTTCCTGCATTCAGAAGATGATCTATTATAGAGTCTGGAATTTGCCTTAAGCTTTTTATAACAAATCCGCACAATGACGTAAGCGATTTAAGTAAGTATGAATATACTTTTGCCCAATATATATTAAACAGATTGACATACTACTGTACTAAATATTTGAACTTATTCCCAGATCCCTTGGGCAGAACCATGGGCCTTCAACTAGTTGAAAGCCCATGGGCAGAACTAAAGCATTGGTATTACCTCTTAATCAATGATTTTATTCAAATTAAAAGAATTGCTTGAATAGACTTCTACATACTTGGCAGTGGTAAATTGTTAAATCTTGTATTTTATATTTATCTGGACTATCAATTAAACAATAAAAACAAAATACAGAATAACCCTGTTTCACCCGAGGGGTTTAATCAATATATTGTATTGTTAAAGTGGTAGGTTTCTGACGTGAGAATAATTGGTCAAGTAAGATCTAAAAGTACCTGATTGAGTACAGTAATAAAGCTAATCAGGTGAGGATATGAAAAAGTACTTTCTTATACTTTGCCTACCTTAAAATATAACATTTTTAGTGAAGTTTATGAATCCAGATTTATGGTATGGTATGGTATGCATGGTATGGTATGGTATGATATGGCATGGTATCAGGTATGGTATGATATTCATATGGTATGATATGATATTGATAGGGTATGGTATGATATGGTATTGTGTTTTCAGAACTATACTTTAAGTCTTAAATATCTTATGCCAATATGAAGCAAGAATATTAAAAGAAATGTCTGATATAATATAGAGAAAATCTACAAATGAGTCTGACATAATTATAATGTCTCATAAAAGGCATCCTGACAAATTGTGGCTTGATAACGCATCAATAATAGTGATTAGAGATAACCAATAAAATGGTTCAAAAACAAGAATTAGAAGCCTTCCCTTGACATCCTTTTCACTTAAATATTAAACTACTTATTGAATGGTCAATAGATTTCCAACCAAGGAAAATATTTGACATTCACAGTCAGAGACAGAATTGTAAAGTCAATACCATTTATTGATCACATCCTTTCAACACTGGGAAAATAAATGAGATTGTTATTTTCATCATGCAAAGACATTACAATACCCAATAATATTGACACTGTTTAAATAGTAAAATAGACTCATACATGCTTAGAACTCTTTTATGTGTTTTCATTGACTAATATAATAATCAAACTAGAGAAAAGCTCAGATATTACAAAATAATGATTTTTTTCTGGGAACGTGATTCTCTTTCTTTTCTGTCATGATTTGTAGAATGTACTCAATTATAAATTCCTATTCAGAATTACAATGTTTGGAGCTTTTTGGTTGCGGAGCATGACTATTGCTCAATTGTTCAATCTATTCAACCTAGAAATATATTATTCATAGCATAGAGCATCAAACATAGAGCAAAAGATATATAAATTATAATAACAAAATAAGATTCATGCAGTGATGAATTATTTGCAAACAGTAAATATTTGCATTAAGAGAACTATATTTAAATAATGTACATGTACTAAGTATATATCATTAAGTTTACATTGGTGTTTAGTATAAAAGGAATGAAAATGCAATTTTACCATTTGACTTACCATGGACCTTTCAAGAACAAAATGAAAATAACTTATGATTCAACCTAGTCTTGTCTGAGCTACCGTAGCCTTGACCTTAAATTCAAGTTGTAGCATTCTGATATCCTTTACAATTCAAAGGCTGCTCTAAATCATAAGATAACTCATATATTCATATTTCAAGTTTCAGTTATTGTTACATAATGACTTAAAACATGGCATCCATGAGGTAGTTATGGTGACAAGGCACTGGCACTGAATGATTAAAAAATATTAGATATTATGCATTGACTGCAAAACTATGTTGACCCTTTACTGCATTGATTGCGGTCTCTGAAATTAGAAAGATAAGGAAATGCATGAACTACACTGTACATGTACTCTGTTATATAGTCATCAGCACCATCTATTCTCTCTATTTAACATCAGTGTCACGATATAGGGTAGCGATTTTTAGGTTTTCTGTCCCTGATGCCTGGTCATTTTAAATTTTATTCTAAGTCCAAAAGTAGCACAAAATAAAAACCAAAAAATCTCTACCCTATATCGTGACATATATCCTATTTAATAATACTAGACAAAAAAAATGAGAAAGTTCAGTATTAATAATACTTTTGGTAAATTTTTAGCTTGTCCAAAGCCAAGGAAGAAGATATATAAATAGGGGCAATGAATGAAATAATAAACATAGCTCCTTGCATGCTAATATTATGATAGTAGAACATGGATATGATATAAAGCCAATTAAGGTACAGCTGGAAAGTAACATTTTGGTAAAAAATTGCTATACCTGCACATGTTATTTTCTAGTTAAGGAATAAATAATGATAGGCCATTCAATATGGTGAAATTCAGCACTCGTTGGACAGAATGTCGTACAAAGCACGAACCGAAGGTGAGTGCATTTGTACTGACATTCTGTCCAACGAGTGCTGAATTTCACCATATTGAATGGCCTATCATTATTTATTCCGATTCAAACATATAAAAAATGAAAACATTGTTCAGAGAATTGGGGATTGGAGCTCCATGAGATACACCAAACTCGAGCTCGCTGTTATTTTCGCCATTCCCAGGTGTGACGTCACAATGCAAATACAATACGTAGATTCCCGGATGATTGGATAGAGCACGGTCGTGCATCTATGGAGAATTAGAGAACGTTCTATATTGGCTATGCTGCATTCTGATTGGTTGAGAAATTCAATTAGAGCACGGTCATGTTTGAATACAAAATAAAGTATGAAGACAGTCAATTTCCTTGCTTTTTTCAGGAAAGTATCATAACATTGTCTTCTTTTAGAATATCTGGTAGGAGTTCAATGGGAACTCCAGGAAATCCCGATATTTCACACTTTGTATTTTTCCAAATTTTCTTTCAAAGTTTTCAGACAACACAGGAACTACCATTGACCTGTTTCCAGGTTTACTAAAAATAGACAGTGTAATGATCATTTCCTGAAAAAAGCAAGGAAATACACACATGACTTCATACTTAATTTTGTACCAGAAAATAACATGTGCAGGTATAGCAATTTTTTACCAAAATGTTACTTTCCAGCTGAACCTTAAAGTAAAAAACTACTTTTTCATTTCAAGATTTATAAGGAATTTCTTATGAGATATTGCGATCCATACCAAAAAAAAAATACCAAGAAGGTGTGAGCATTTTTTTCCACGATTCTAATATCAAAATTGTTTGAGAATCCATTGTAGTCAAATAGGTGAAATATCACAGACTTATGTGATATCATTTGGCAGAGTCAATGATGAAATGCACACAAAATCAATGAATAGTGTCCACATAAAAACAGAGAGAAGATTTACGTAAATTACTGAACAATCAGTCGTACAAACAGTATTAAAGATATGTAGTGTTCAATGAATATCATTTGTACTGGACTGCCAGGAATAAATGGTCTGGTAATCAACTGAGTGACTGAAATCTTGTTTTTTTTAAATTTTTTCCATTTTTGGATTTAATCCACATAATGCGATTGAAATTGTTATCTGGTTACTATGAAACATACTTTTCTCGGATACTGATACATTCGTGTAGTGCCTGACAGCTTTCAAGAAGCACCACAATGTGTAATGCTTGTAAAATATGACTTTTCCAATTTGTAAACTCACCTTTTTTCTCCCCAATGGTCCGCCATATTGTTTACAGTAGTGAAGCACAGAACAAGCTAAGCGATCAACATAAAATAAATATTTACACATCACAAATCCAGTTCCTTACACATATATATATTCGCAATTTAACCTACTCTATATCTTATGATCACAATATTCATCAATTCTAGTTTGAAAAATATTACTTAAAAGATAACAAATGCGGTAAGTAAATTGCAAATTATTTGTGGCTCGATCATGTTTTCTGGCAGGGTCAGAGGTCAAACAAGTACACATGCAAGCATGGAGGAAGAAAATATTGAAGATATGGATGGAAATAGCGAAAGTTCTGATGACCAGGAGGAAGAAATGGAAGATGAACAGGTTGAGAACAAAACTTACCTACCTGGGCAACAAATGGAAGACGGAGAAGAGCTTGTATGCGATGAATCTGCCTACAAAATGTACCATCAAGCCTCAACTGGTAAAAATTTCACTTGTTCCACTCCATAGATCCCGGCCAGATTCTTTTGTAGTAGAATCAGTAGCTCAATAATATTTCCTCAAGATGAGACACCTCAGAAAATTTCAAATTTTAAAATGACGATTCGGCAGCCATTTCTGAAAAATATGAGACAAATCATACCTCATTCGAAGGGTCTTGTTATTCTTTACCTTTTTTATCACCAATGGCCGTTATTCAAGCAATACTGCGTTGATAAGAGGCCAAAACAGTGATATTTTATCGCCGGACTCTTGTCTGTCCAAATCTGAATGTTGCTCCCGTGGTTCCAGAAATGTGACGTCATCATTACAATGATATTTGGACACACAAGAGTCCGGATTTCGTGAAAAATATTCGCCGTATTGAAAGTCAAATAACTGCATCCATAGGTTATTTACTCGAACCAAACAAGTAGAAATAGAAAGATGAAGATCTCAGCTATAAAATAAGTGCAAAATCTGTCACGGGGAAACAGGTACCATTTTGTATAAGGAACGTTTTGAAAGGTGGTCACTTTTTTTTCGAAATTTTCCAATTTAGTGTCGTATCTTCTGTATTATTCTTTGAGCCTATGATCCTACTACAAAACGATCTGGCCAATATCTGTGTTCCACTCAACGATTGCATTTACAGTTGGGGACATAAATAAATGACAGGTGGATTTGCTGAAGTGAGGATTTCCCATGTTAAAAATAAGAGAATTTACAGGAGGCCATAAATCAGTAGATGAGATTATACAAAATGTAAAATATACAAATTTTAAGGGATATGTATCGAGACAATATTGGAAATTATGGGCTTTCAGACCACCATAATTAGGAAATGGTGATCGAAAATCGACCTGTCATTTATTTTTGTCCCCAACTGTAGAGTCTTATCCCGTTCCCGGACTATGGTCCTGTGAACATCTCAATCTTTTGCCTGTGCGATTACAACATGGGAGAATTATTTACTCATCTTACACTTCAGATACCTACTTCAATAGATTCCTTGGTAATTTAGCATTCTTTTCGTGTAGTTGAATCCACAATTGTCTGGGTTTATCGGCAGAACGAAGACATTTTCGTTTTTGATCGCAATATTTGCGTGTAACATTTAACTTATTTCAACCGTCAAATTCCTCCATATTGGTACTTCCGGGCTACATCCGGGACAGCCAAACGGGGGATTCCCCTTTTAAATCCAACCGCCATTTTGAAAAGTGATGGAATCTCTCTCGATGAAAAAAGAGAAATGTTCCCGTTCTGCCGATATACCCAGACAATCGGCGGTTCCAATATATTAGAAGTTACATCTTGAGTTCTATAATGCATTGAGGTAGGTATCTTAAGTGTAAGGGGCGTAGATAATTCTCCCAAGTTGTAATCGTACAGGCAAATGAATGCGCTCAGTGCAGGACTATAGTCCGGGAACGGGATAAGTAGAGTCCATTTCAATGCTTCATTTCGTCAGTAGAACGGCAAAAATAAGAAATTGGGAGACCATTGTGCAATAATATATGGAAAAGTATATTCATAATGTACATGAATGACATTTGTATATCTTGGATTGCTTCTAGTTTGGCTTATAAAGTGTGTGGCCTCTTATATTTGGATGTTTCTCTGCCATGTTATTTTCAATAAGATTAACATGGCTGAAATTCTTCAAATTACAAGACGGCACAGGCTTATTGCACAAAAAACTAAAAAATCTGAAATATACAAATGTCATTCATGTACATTATGAATACGCTTTTCCATATATTATTGCACAATGCACTGGCAGATTAGGGGGGGGGCCTGGGGGCCCGGGCCCCCCCCCCCCCCTTGGGTGGGCCCAGAAAAAAAAATTGGGCCCAAAAAAAATTTTGGGCCAAAAAAGGCCTTAAGGCCCCCAAAAAGTCGGCCTTTTTGGTCATTACTGGGCCTTAAAGGCCTTATTTTTTAAATTCAGGCCAAATTTTGAAGAAAATGGGCCTCAAAATTTCAAAATTTGGGCCCACTATTGCGTTTTAGGGGCCCAAAATTTTTTTTCCCGCAAGCGCGGACGTTTTTTCCTCTGACCTGAAATTTGGGCCCCCCCCTTGTTGGTTCCCAGATCCGCCCCTGCAATGGTCTCCCAATTTCTTATTTTTGCCGTTCTACTGACGAAATGAAGCAGTGAAATGGACTCTATCTCAATATATTTACTGTTTGTGTACACTGTCTAAAATACAGAGTATAAGATTTTGCTAATGAATGCAAATGTCACTCAACTTCTACGTTTTATTAAACACTCATATACTTACCTGTATCAGGTACGGAAAATTTCGAATGGAATGCGTGACATGGCGTGAAAAGTCCGAACGAAATGCGTACGTTTTTTTTCAGCGTTCGTATTTTTGCTGTGTAGACGAACTTTTTTAGAAATTTTTCTACAGAAATATTTTTGCTTGACAACTACCAGGTAAAATGCGTATTTGCGTGACATTTTCTGTCACGCAAAAATAACTGGCGTGACTTCAAATTCTTCAGCAAATGCGTGACAAATACGCAAATTGCGGGACAGTTGACAGGCCTGTGATAGCAAGTAGATATCAGTCTCGGCAGAGCGACAGTCTTATGAGAAGAAGGTCCTGGTTTCGATTCTCATCTGGGCAGTGAGTATAGCACGCTCCCTTTCAGGTCTAGTATCTTGCTCGTTAAACTTCAGCTCCCTTGAAGAGCGTTCCTCAGGTCGTTACAGTGGTGGCAGTAGTGGGATTACCCTTTATGTATCATTTACAATAGGACATCATCTTTCAGGGAGAAGGGGTAATGAACCTCGAAAGCAAGTTGCTACTATGTATCTTCTTAACAAATCCCAACATGGATGAGTCTGTATTAGTCTATCAATACAGTAGGACCTGTTGCTGATACTCTAATATTCTGACCAAAATGTTGAAAAAAATCACCGAACTACGAAATTAAATAAAATCAATGAACCAAGAATCAAATTCCACATGTTCAGTGATTTTTCTTATTGAAACTTCAAGAACTTACCAGGAAATTAAAGTTTTGACACTTTTTTGTCTTGTCTTGGATATTGCGCTCATAAAATGCTCCATGGTCGACATAACAAAGCTGATATGGTTGAATGTATTACTGTATACTAAATACTGGTATGTAAGTGACAGTGGCGTTCATTTTCAAAATCTTGATTTTTAAATTTGATTGACGAAGAGAAAGAGTAACAAGAACACAAATGTGTACAAAATGTCCCCACCTATGGGTGATCCTGTCAAATGGTTATCCTAAAAACGAGTAGACAAGACTTTACCGACACAATTTGAGGACGGAAAATCCAAAATGGCCACCTTAAAATTTACCCAGAATGCCCAAAAATAAGTCAGTTCTAGATTTTCATACTAAGAACCACCCCTGAAAATTTGAAATTGATCTGTCACACAGTTAACCAGAAAACATGTAAACAAGACTTTACAGACAAGATTTGAGGACAGAAAATCCAAAATGGCTGCCTTGACATTTATCCAGAATGCCAAAGAAATTAATCTGTTCTAGATTTTCATACTATACTAAGAATCAGCCCTGAAAATTTGAAATTGATCTACCAAACGGTTCACCTGGAAATGCGTAGACAAGACTTTACAAACAAGATTTTAGGACAGAAAATTGAAAATGGTTGCCTTGACATTTACCCAGAATGCCCAAAAACTAATCAGATCTAGATTTTCATACTAAGAATCATCCCTGAAAATTTGAAATTGATCTACCAAACGGTTCACCTAAAAACACGTAGACAAGACTTTACGGGCAAGATTTTAAGACGGAAAATCCAAAATGGCTGCCTTGACATTTACCCAGAATACCAAAAAACTAATCAGATCTAGATTTTCATACTGAGAATCATCCCTGAAAATTTCAAATTGATCTACCAAACGGTTCACCATGAAATGTGTAGACAAGACTTTACAGACAAGATTTTAGGACGGAAAATCCAAAATGGCTGCCTTGACATTTACCCAGAATGCCCAAAATCTAATCAGATCTAGATTTTCATACTGAGAATCATCCCTGAAAATTTGAAATTGATCTACCAAACGGTTCACCTGAAAATGCGTAGACAAGACATTACAGACAAGATTTTAGGACGGAAAATCCAAAATGGCTGCCTTGACATTTACCCAGAATGCCCAAAAACTAATCAGATCTAGATTTTCATACTAAGAATCATCCCTGAAAATTTGAAATTGATCTACCAAACGGTTGACCTGAAAACGCGTAGACAAGACTTTACAAACAAGATTTTAGGACGGAAAATCCAAAATGGCCGACAATAAAAAAGTGGTTATAAGTTTTTGCTGATTTCTTTTTACAAAATTATCACATATAACTACTGTTAACAATAACATAGGCTTTTACAACAAAGTCCACCTGAAATTATTTATAAAGCTACTAAATAGTTTAAGTATGAAAACTCAAAAACACCATTCAATATGATACAAAGTATTATCGTGCGCTAACTTTTCTTAAAACATTCAAAATGGCTGACATGACTGAGCTAACAGGTCCAAAACCTAATCAGATCTAGAATGAAGTGAGCTGAACAAGATTTTAAAGTTTTAAAAGCAACTGTGAAGCCGTTTTTCTTAAAGTTTGCAGACAAGGATTTTAGCATTTGACTTCAAAATGGCCGACAGGAAGTAGGTTTCGAGTTAATTTTTTTTCATCCACATCTGCATGCACTCATAAGTTATCCCTGAAAATTTGAAGGTGATATCTGTAGCGGTTTTGGAGAAAACTGCCGGACGTACGGACAGACGGACAGACGGACAGACAGACAGACAGACAGACAGACAGACAGACAGACAGACGGACAGACGGACGCGCCTAGGCCGACAATATGGCCCCACACTATGTGGTGGGGACATAAAAAGGGCTGTAAACCAAATTGAAAATAAGTATTTTAAGATTCCCAGGCATAGGGAAATAACGTATGAGAAAGGCAAAGACGTTCGCTTACACCCCTTCCCTCCTTGTTATTTACCTGTATGTGTACATATACTGTGCCTAAATACCAATACCCATTGCAAGCATGCTCACGTATGTTTACATTGCAGGTGCACCATGTTTGAGTTTTGACATCCTCAAGGACAACATGGGAAATGACAGAGAAGATTTCCCCCTGACATGCTACATGGTATCAGGTATGTCTAATTAGATTATTACTGTTTGTGTTGCATTGTTTTATATATAAACTACATCTTGATGATGTCACATACTTGCTATATGAATATACACTGTATAAGGACATGTGCTAAAAGAGTAACGACCAAAAAATATTCAAAAAACAGTCAGAAAAGAAATGAGGAGTGCAACAGGTCAGAAGAAAACAAAATCCCATCAGCCCAAAAATAATTGTTCAAAGAACAATGATCTAATATGCTTTAATATGCTAATGAATACCCCAGGGGTTGAGCTTATGTTCTGAGAGTAGCTTGCCTAAAAGGCATTATGGAATAATTTCCTTGTTATTTTCCTATACCTTGTGAAAAAATCAACTGGTCCATTTAAGAAGTTTACTGTAACATGGCAATAACCAGTAGACCAGCCCTTAGCTCAAATCCTGAATACCCCTATATTAATTGAATACCCTATTATATATTAATTGTTCCCTATTATATATTAATTGTTCCCTATTATATATTAATTGTTCCACAGAATTCATATTGTGCCATAAATGTTTCCAGGTACCCAGGCAGAGAGATCACACACTAACAATGTCATAGTAATGAAGCTGAGCAACCTGCAGGCAACTAAGAACAAGAATGGAGATGATGATGATGACGATGACTCAGATGAAGATTCAGACTCGGAGATGGAGGGGCCTGAATTGGAGGCAGCTATGATAAAGCATGTAGGAGTGGTTAACAGGATCAGGGTAGGTGTTGCAATATAATATCACTCAATGTTGAAAGGAAGTGTAGCCAAGACAGGGCAGTTTCAAGGGATTTCTATTTGGGGTTCTTCACATAAAAGACATGAGGTGACCAGCCAAATGAATGTCATTATGGCAGGATATCTCAGATCAAGCCATTTCTTGGGCCTTTGTATTATTAATATGATCAATCTGCCATTATTAATAGTGTTCCACTTAAATCAAATAACGGAGGTGTTCCCTCTGTGAGGTGCCCCATCATGATAATCCATGACATCTCATTTCTTCTCAGCCCTGAGATGCCACAGTGTAATGAGCTTGATTTGGCGATCCAGGAGAGCCCAGAATTGAGGAATTTTGAGATCTTTCATCCCAGCTCATATTTCATTTAATTGGGGTCATTACACTTGTGTACCTGTGCCTGTTCTAATAGCTGCTGTTAAATACAATGCCTATGATATAATGTATTGAAATTAAGGTAAATGATTACATGATAACTATCACACTTATTGACAGTTATAACTCTTCCCATCTGAGGTGCTCGGATCACAGAATATTCCTAATAATATCAGAGCATGTTTCAGGTGAAACAGAAAGATGCTATGAGTATCAGAATGGAAGTGCCCCACTTGACAGTTTTTACAACATAACATAAACAAACAAATGATATGATGCATGATTGTGGAGGCGTATCAGATGCATTAGAACTATAGCCTATGATTTATTTTATAGACGACACAGTACAAGGAGAAAGCCCTAGCTGCCACGTGGTCTGACACAGGAAAGGTCCATATATGGGACCTGTCACGCCCACTTCAGGCTGTCAATGATCCAGACACTATGGCAACCTATACTCGGAATGTTGAGTCACCTCCTCCTGTGTTTACATTCAGTGGTCACCTGACTGAAGGTTATGCTATTGATTGGTCCATTGCAAAGCCAGGTATGTCCAAATATGGCAATGTAGTCATTTTTTATCCAAATGTGAAGGAAATGGATGACATGTGCTTTCAAGAATTTATTCTTTCAGAACTCATATTTTAGATGGATGAAAATTTTGGTTATTGCCTCATTGATTATTAATCCATATGATCAATAAAACCAAATTAATGCCCTTTGCTTATATCAGGTCACCTAGCAACTGGAGACTGCAAAAACAACATCCATCTGTGGAAGCCAAGGGAGAATGACTGGCATGTGGATCAGAGGCCTTATACTGCACATGCAGGTTCTGTGGAGGATATACAATGGTCACCTAATGAAGCAGAGGTATACTAATTTGCATATTATTTAAACTATATTAGAAGAACATCCTGGTTGAATTCAAAATACATGTATGTGCAAAATTCAGTCTGATATGAACAAAATCATATATTGGTACAAGGGTAATAAACTATTAAATTTTTTAAGGATTTAGAAATAACCAAGTCAATAAAATAATCCTTATCATGCTTTCCTTGGATTCAGGTGTTTGCTTCATGTTCTGTGGATAAATCCATTCGTATCTGGGATGCAAGGGCTCCACCAAATAAGGCATGTATGTTGACTTCCGAGAATGCTCACAGTGCAGATGTTAACGTCATTAGTTGGTCTCACAATGAGCCTCTTATGGTGTCTGGCGGGGATGATGGTATGATTAAAGTATGGGACCTAAGGCAGTTTCAGGTATGTATGTCATTATGTCAATTTTTCCACATGATCAAATGATAGATGATTATGTGTATAGAAGTTATTTTCTATATCTTGATCTTTCAACATACTGTACTTGAGAAATGAACTAAGCAAGTTTCTTAGTATTCAATTATTCCTATTACATATCTATTCATGCTTTAGAAGGTCAACTCACTAAATTCCAACCAATTCCATTTAAAGAATGAAAATACATGTACCCACAAAACAAGTTGGTTTCCCAGACATTTATTCTGGAATTTGTCTCCATGCCATTGTTTTAGTTAAGGGCAATTGTTTGCAATTAATGACCAAACTGGATGGACAGGGTTTTTCATTTAAAAACAAAAAAAAGAAAACAAGAAAAATGTTTAATTTGACCAGAGTGATCATAGATTGATTAGCAGTAAACATATATTAATATTATAGAGGCCTTATGATGATGATGATTTAAATATAATAATAATAATGATATATCTTCCAGCATGGTAAACCAGCAGCTTCATTCAAGCACCACAGTGCACCAATCACATCAGTGGAATGGAACTTTAAAGACAGTACAGTGTTTGCCGCTTCAGGGGCAGACAATCAATTGACTCTATGGGACTTAGCTGTAGAAGCAGACTCAGGAGAGTCCTCTGATAAGACTTTACAGGATGTACCACCACAGTTATTGTTTATACATCAAGGACAGAAAGATATTAAGGAGTTACATTGGCACCCCCAGTTACCAGGCGTCATCATTAGTACAGCAGAGTCAGGATTTAATGTCTTTCGGACTATAAGTGTGTAACTGGTGTATGAGGGTATCCACCAGGGGGCAGCATAAGTGCTAGTCCAGTTGGCTGTTTGCATTTATGGGAATAAAGTCTGTTATGATTACTTCTGACCAGTCTAAAAAATCACCCTACATTGTAATAACCTAGAATGGATTTCAGATCTATTGAATCTAAATTGAGTCTGTTTGGATTAGTTTCTGTTGTATACTGATGCCCTTGTAGTGAAATTAGCAACTGGTAAATCGTAAATACAAAATTTACTACACATTGCTGATCTCACAGACTAGTGTTAATGCTATACCCTGAGGTTGGGTATCTGCTGGGTGAAGGGAGATGAATGGATGTGGGCGTCTTTACTTACCCAATTTACATACATTTGTATATGTATTAAATGTTATATATGGGTAACTATTGAAGTTGGATAACTTCATGACATTTATAAAATATAAAAAAATAAACGGAGAATAAGAATAAAAAGATCGTGTCTATGAAATTTAATTCTCATTTTATTTTATTTTTTTAATTCGTGGATAAAGTCACTTTTGATGGTGACATAAAAATCAGGAGTTGGCAGGTATCTGGGTATGCAATCCATAATTCATACAATCCTAAAATTTCAGATTTATCCAGAAAAAATTTAGTTGGATTTACACAATCCTAGCATTTTGGGGAGAGTCTTGAAATTCCATCAGAAAAAGATTGAAAACCAGATTGATGTTTTTCCCATTTTGAGTCACCATTCTCAGGATACATTACTTAATAAATCCCACAATGCATCATTACTTCAGAAAATCCAGATTGTTTTTTGTGTCACAGTCACACTTCCAGGTCAACAATCATTATTATCTTGTTCCCCATTCATCGAAAACAGGACTCTATTGGTACATGTATGTGATAAAGGATATATTTATTGAATATGCACAAAGTCGAAAAGAGTTATTTTGTACATCATGATTAATGGTGTGTATAATATCAATAACTGCAGTTTCACAAATTAATCATTTTTTACAAATATGCAACAATAATTGTTGTATACTGTAGCCTATATATATGATGTGAACGGCTGGCAAAATAGCCTCTCACAAAAATCATTGATTATTGAATGTTCAATACCAACCTTGGTTTGATATATCATTACACACAATTTAAAGCTCTGTTTCAAAATGGCATCTGAGAATATGTACATGTATCTGTGATTAATCAAGATTGTGGCACAGAGGATATCATTCTTAAATTGAGCAATCAAATACATGTGCACTTGATATGGCATACACTAGTAACTACTCACATACTCTGCTAACTACTACATATTGTTTTGGTTTAAAAATGCAAAAATAATACAACATACGCACTAAACAAACAGGTAAAAATACAATATATTTTTAATGGAATGGTATCCATAACTGCATCCATATAGCAACAATCTTAAGCCTTCTTTACCTTCTATTTCATATCTTTGAATAAAAGAAATTGTGACCACTTTGGTGGCTTTGAGATTACAAAGTTTGATGAAAGATATTACACTGCAAAACCTAAATATTATATCCTTCTCAAGACATTGATGGCATCTGCACTCTTCAGGATAGAAATACATAACTATAAACATATGTACCTGTTAATTCAGAATATACAGAATATCTATCCTACATTTCCTGTTTATAGGTAGCTATTACTCCTTCTGTATTCCTGGTCCCATTTGTCCCATAAAAGGCTATAGAAGGTCCATTTGAGATCGTTTATAATAAAGACCTTATAAGAATCATTTGTCAAAGCTAGAGGGGATTTTTACTAGCAGATGTGAAAGTATCTCAGGTAAGAGTCATTGAGATTACAATCCAAAATCTCCAATATTGCAATGATACAGACATCTAGAGGGATGGTTTAGTTTCTATGAACGGGAAGTTATATTTCTGAGGTAGTCCTACATGCACTGTCTTGTTAAAGCCTCCTACCCAAGAGAATGGTTTAAGTCCTGTACCCAGAGTTGGCCCATTTATGATAGAAGCTGTTCTTGACATTGCCATATTGTAGTCAGCCACCTGAAAGAAAAAAGAAAAACATTCGCAATGGGTTACAACAGGCCATGATATAAGGGGTGGGATCAAAACTTTGACACCTGTCGAAATACTTAATTGTGTGCATGTGTCATCATTTGTTACAAATGCCAACTGCCAAACACCAACCACCATCCACAAAAAAGTTGGGGGCTATGTCACCACTTTTATGGTAGTAACATAAATATATGAATTCCAGATTTTTCATTTTCTTGTGCTGGGCTAACAGAAACTATAAGAAACAGACATTACAGTACATGTACCTTTGTGTCATAACAGCCTGAAGGTCTTGGGTTCTTAGCATTAAGGTCACCACGGCAACATATAGCTCCACAGGGGTCTCCACCGGCATAGGGATCATGCTGATAATCTAAAAAAATCAAAATTAATTTAAAAGTACATTTAAATTCCCCAATATGAATCTTAACTTCATAGCGGATATTTTTTAACCAATTTCCTGTCGAACAAATGGGACCATAAAAACCGTTTATATTAAAATTCAACTGTCAACAGACTAAAATCTCCTTTATCATTGATGTAATATCAAATTCCTGTGAACTATGACTTCAAACCTACCATTATATCTCATGATATGTTTCATAGACTTCAAGTCCTTAACAGATCCCTGGTCCCGTCGGAATATTTTGGCTCTAGGAGCAAGTTGGTAGCTGTACATGTCTCCAAACTTCTCCACTGCTTTGGCATAGTCACTCATATTGTAGATTTTCTCATAGAATGGCACATTGTATGAAGGCCAATAACCTGTAGGAACAGACAACCATAAACAGAATTAAGATTTAAGATCTTTTAATAGAGGGGTATCACACAAAGGGTTATAGCTAAAACGTTTCCTCGATCAAATCTAGTTTTAATTGAACAACACATAAATCTGGTGGATGTGTTACAGATGGGGCTAAAAATATTGTGTGAAACCTCTCTAATGTATTATATACAACTGATCTCAGAAACAGAGCATAGTTACAATGTACATGTACATGCTGCACCCTGTTGAAAATCTGAAAATTATATAGGCTACCAACCTGTTGATTGGAAATCTGTTGGCATGCACTCTGTCAAAAAGATGAAATATTGAATTTTGACCAAAATGGGCAAAATTAGTGTTTGTCTGTTGCCAAGAAAACTTGGGGAGACCACTGTATACTATCAGTATATGAAAAACTTTATATTTTGAATTATGTTCGATAACTGAAGAAAATAACATTTGAAGAAATGTTCTATTGGGTATACCAAATTTTTTACACCAGGTATCAATTAAGCAAATCTTACTGCCCAATATGAAAATATTTTGTAAGTAAAGAATAAGACCTAGATGGGCATGTCTGGTATTAACATGTATTTTACAGTACCTGCACGTAGTATAGCTGTCTGGTCCCCAGCCTCTACTAAGGTAGGAATCTGTTCAATCACCCATAGAGCACCATCATCAATGGCTTCGTTTAGGTGGACCTTCTTCAGGTCAACTATCATATACTGATTGTTGTATGTTCCTAGAAATGTAGAAAACAATTTCAATATAAACTGTAAATCACAAACAGAGCATTAACATACAAGATTTCACCACCTTTCATTTGATACAGACAGACACCGAACACTGACCGCCAAATGCAAACTGCCAAACACCATCTATAACAATATATATTGTCAACACTTTTGGTGCTGACATAAAAACTGAATATCTTTGACACAGGCTGGTATCGAAAATTTTGTCCGCTGTGACGGAGCGTGCTATTTTGCATAGAATCACTAGGAAATCCACACAATTTATTTTTTTACTCATATGTTTTGCTATATCAAAGAAAATTGCTGACTCCATGCAATGAATATATCATTTGCGGGTAACTTTAAATTCTGTTCGAAGTCCAACAACGTTATTAGTAAAAGCTATTGAAAACGGCGTCGGAGTATCATACTCTAAAATGTACCATTTCTTTTATTTCTTTTAAATGGTACAATATAGCGACACGATAATATTTACATATGTTTTCAGCATAACTCTGAAGGTATTAATGAGATCTTGATGTATTGGGTATTTTTTTTTTAATTTATTTTTTTGTCCGCTGTGACGGAGCAGTTCCAAATCTGAAATGCGTTAAGAATTTAGATTCATAATATATTTCTTTACAACTAAACTTTAGAGGAGCGAGCGTGTCAAATCTCTTTCGTAAAGTATTCTGAAAAATGAAACGTAATAAAAGTACACAATTCAAATTCTGAGATGTATATACGACCACTCTTTAAGCTTCTTTTCTCAGTTTGTACTGCAATCCAACTTATGCATGGTAACTCATGAAAATGATAGTCAACTTCCATTTCAGTAAAGGGTATTTGCCTTTCGTAGTGCCCTATATGGATCCATCGGCCTGACATGGTCATTTTTTACGGTAACTTAATTATTTGAAGTAAAATGATTTGCTGAAGATGAAGCTAAATACAAATAATGGTATGGACTGTGGATTGTTCTACCCTCTTTAGTCGTTCCAAAAGGTAAGTTGAATGTATCTTGAAATACGAAAATGCAAAATTTGATTTTAAGATCGTTCTTTATTTGACTAAGAGTTATGGCTATCTGATGCAACTACAGTAAAATATGTGTACAGTGAACACATATGGAGCCCAAAAATGTGTTCCCAGTTGGTATAGATGTTCACTCCATAGAGGCAATTTCATACAGAAGTCAGAGGAATATTTGATAAAAAGAGGTGTTCACTAGAGAAAGATATTCATTGATACAGGTTTTACAGTGCAGCACGTTTACAAAGACTTGTTTTTATAATTTCAGTCTATGCAAAACGATGAATTTCATGAATTTCAAATAATTGCAAATTAAATCTGTATTGGGATCATCTTATATACAGTAATATAATATTATGTGGTAAAAGGTTATACATCTGTCGGCATGCATGATGTCTGTGCACTATTTCGAATAAGTAAATTCATATTAGCCCTATTTACACTACACGTGACATTTCAAGACGTCTAGGCGAAAACGTATTAGAAATATTATGTTGAGTTTACATCATGTTGATTCATGTTGATTTCAGTACAAACCTCCGAAAAATACTAAGAGTGGTCGTTTTTATATCTCAGATTTACATTACCCCATATCTCCAAGAGGCTGCTTGTCATTATTTAGGAAAGTGATTTGCACCCTATGCAGACAGAGCCTGTGGGAAATATTGGGTGCGGAGCAAATGAGCGGAGGGTGCGGAGCTAACGGTTATTTTTGAATTTAAATTTGGGATATTTCTGAAACTAAGCCGTTTTGGGACTTCAAATATACCAAGATATGTGTATTTGACACCAAATATCAATACAATTGTGAAAATAGTAGCGCAATTCATTCTATAGCGACGCAGTGTGCCTTAAACCTTTCCCAGACCTATATATTTTGAAATTATCCTTTTAATACTGAGTCCCCAGCATTCATAAAAAATGGTGTTCAAGGTGCACTATCTATACAAATTATTTTTGCATCTTGGGATGCGGAGCTACGTTTATGGAGCTGCTCCGCACCCAATATTTAGAGGGGGCTCATATCTGAAACAATTTCCGAATTTTTATAAAATCACACAGATACTGCCTGGCTTCCAAGATGCAAAAATAATTTGCATGGGTAGTGTATCTTGAACACCATTTTTTATGAATGCTGGGGACGCAGTATTAAAAGGATAGTCTCAAAATATATAGGTCTGGGAAATGTTTAAGGCATACTGCGTCGCTATAAAATGAATTGCACTACTATTTTCACAATTTCATTGATATTTGGTGTCAAATACACATATCTTGGTATATTTGAAGTCCCAAAACGGCTTAGTTTCAGAAATATCCCAATTTTAAATTCAAAAATGACCGTTAGCTCCGCACCCTCCGCTCATTTGCGCCGCACCCAATATTTCCCACAGGCTCTGTCTGCATAGGGTGGATTTGTGACGTTCTCTCTTCTAAGGGTACTTTTAAAAGATATAATTTGAATCTTAAATTCTTAACGTAGTTCACAGTTAAAACTTCTCCGTCACAGCTGACAAAAAATGTAAACATTATTTTTTATAAAAAATATTAAAAATACCCAATACATCAAAATATCATTAATACCTTCATAGTTATGCTGAAAACATATGTAAATATTATCGTGTCACTATAATGTACCATTGAAAAGAAATAAAACAAATGGTACATTTTGGAGTATGATACCCTGGCGCCGTTTTCAATAGCTTTTACTCTTAGCGTTGTTGGACTTCAAACAAAAGTTAAAATTACCCGCGAATGATATACCCATTGCATGGAGTAAGAAATTTTCTTTGGTATAGCGAAACATATGAGTAAAAAAATAAATTGTGTGGGTTTCTTAGTGTTTCTATGCAAAATAGCACGCTCCGTCACAGCGGACAAATTTTTCGATACCAGCCTGTGTTTGAACATCAAAATTTCTTTTGGAAAAAAGTAATGTGAAGAACCCATTCAATCTGATAATATTGAGTACAAATAAAACTGAATTCATCAATAAACTGTATTCCAGCCTCATTGAAATTCATAGTCTTATACAAAAAACTTTCAGCTACTCTAGCCTTACCAGAGTTGTACTGCTTAAAGGCCTGAGCCCATTCTGCCCCACTGTGTGCCATCATGTTGGCCACCCTAACCCTTTGCCAGGCTAAGAGACTCTCTGGTACTATATACTGGTAGAGACTTGTGTTGAAGATTACTGTGGTTGTCTGTAACATCACAAGCTTGCTGGATAGCAAGTAGAAATCATCCAGTGACTCCAGGAAACCTAGAATGACAAATTCATATTACAGATGTCATAATTTTCTCATTGAATATATTATCAGAAAATTAAAGAAGTAAAAAGAGAGATGAGTTGAGAGTACAGTAGGTTCAGAAAAAATTGTCATAATTTCACAATGTTTTTACTCTTATCATTCTACATCACACCTATTGTGACATAAAAAGTCCAACAGTTCTTACTAATTCATTTCAGGAATTTCTTAAATTTGTTAGGTGACCTTGACCTTGGACATCCCAATTTTGGATTTTAATGAACTCAATTCTTTTTCAGATAATAAAATTAGGATTGTAGAGTAAACACAATATTGCTTCCAACATTTTTCACTCTCCATCCATTTTAATTCCTTTATCAAGCAATCCATAGTGTTTGTATGCATGTTCAACAGGCTCCATTAACCCCCATCTTAATCTTACTGTTCACTCCTTACCTGGGTAACTTGAGAATGACATCTGTTTGGCTGCTGTGTCAGGGAGGTTGAAGTCGTAATGCTTGTATATCCTGTTGGTTGCACTGTAGAGGAACCAGCTAGAATGGGACATGAAGATATTCTCATAGGCACCCATCACCTGAGAAATATATAAAGATATCATCCAATGATTGTCAACCATTAATGCATTGTCTCTTTGATTTATTACAACAACTTTCACAAGTGGAGTTGTCATAGACATCCATCACCTGACAAATATAAAGGGATTTATACAAAAAATCTTATCAACATCATCCACCCTATACAGACTGTGCTATAGGAAAACAAGCAGTTCGGATATAATGTGCACAAGGTGCAGATATTAACAGTCATTTTTGAATTTGAATTTGTGATATTTCATAAACTAAGGCATGTAAGGCATATTATGTTTTCCTCAAAGTTGTTGGTCTTATTCATTGAAATCTGAGACAAACATAGTTTGATGGTCTCAGTTGAAATGAGGACCTTGTTTTTTTCATTTTCATTACAAAAATAGATTTTACACCAAGAGATTTTTAAAGTTGTTAAAGTTAGATTAACAATTGAAAGTCTAATTTGGAAGATTTGGTGACCACTTAGGCTGAAAACGAAATGTCAAGATTAGGACCTAAACAATGTTTTTTCGAAGAATTGGATCAATATTTCTTTTATCCTTATAATTTAACTTCAAAGAAAACATATAATTTTAATGAAAAATGCTTGAATATAGTCATGGCCAAAGATATGACTGTCTTAAATCATTTGCCATACCACACCTGGTATTTTAGAAAATACAGACAAGATTTTCAAATAAACATCAATGGTGCATCGCTACAAACAATGCATCTTTGGTGGTTTGACGACAATGTAAGAAAATATATACATATATAAATTTCATTAAATCTATGTCAGTATATCAATTTAAACAAGTAAATCCAAAAAGTCATTTAAAAATCAAGAGGTTGGATTCAATTTTTGTGACACTCTGTATAAGACTAAAGTTGTTGTACCTTAACAAGTGCAGAACAGTGGCTATGTGAGATGAAATATGAATTCATTTCTTCAGAGGTCATACTCCAGAAGTCAGCTGGCTGCCAACCTGCCAAGAGATCTATCAAGTCCCCTACACCATTCAGCAACAGCATTGCATATTTCACATCATCTAGCTTCTGCAATGAAAATACTTGACAGATTAACGGATTAACTTTATAAATAAATAAAATAGTCTTATGCAATATTTTTGTAAAAATATGGGCATATATTTTGTTTGTAATAAACTACATGTAATGAGCAAAACAGTTTGAAATATGTATATGAATTCTAAATACAGATACTTTTAGCAAGGATAACAACAGGGTGTACTAAAACTGTTATTTTCACCTAAATATTTGAAAATCAAGGATATTGTATCATACCATATACAGTGGATTTTCTTAAATATCACTGCAATGGAAACAAAACAAATGTACCTTTCTAATGGCACGTGGATTTTAGGTACAATTATTTTGCCAACATTAATTGTTGAGAGTTGGCAGATAAAATTTGGAACTCTTAAATAGGGAACACTTAAAAATCTTGGAAATATGTTTTTCTCCATGCTGGGAACATCAATCCTATTCGTTTCCTTTATGCTTCACATTTGAAGATATGATATGGAGTGTGAGATTCACTATCATTTCCAAACATCTAGTAGATTCAAAATACATAGAAGCTGACACCCAATATTGATTATATTGGGTGTCAGTAATTAATACTGTAAAATTGATAATTATTACTGTAAATAAATGTTTTTCAAAACTTATTCAAAATTACAGTAAATCCTGAGTTAGTGAACACATCTCTCTCAACAGTCAGCATTTTCATTCGGTGAAACCTATTTCCCATTGACTACCATGCTAAAGGACAATCCTGAAGTGAACACCTACCCTTCTCAAAACAACTTCCATACCTCTACAAGCTACATACCTGGCCAGCCTTAGCATTATCAATATATCCTTGAACAAGTCCATCGAATTGAGCTTGAACATATGAAACATGTCTCCAGTATGGGTCCTTCCCACCCATGGAACTAATCATCTTTCTCGTCCATTTGTCTTGGCTATACATGAATGTCTTCAGTTTCTCAAGGGTTTTGTTTTCTCTGCCTGGTAAAATGAATCCCTCATTGACATTGATGAAATGGTTGTGGATGTGCCTGGAAAATTAAGTAATGAAGTAGTTTATATGCACTTTGTGTTTCAAACCATCTTAGTATTGCCTTTTTGTGATGGGGGACATTTTATTTATTAATCAATTATTTATTGCAACTCTTGGTAAATTATTGTTTACTAAATTATTATTTAGAGGTACAAATGATGAGATAATTATAATGTCAGAACACTATATTCTTCAAGGTTTATAATGCTTGGTCCTAAGTCATCTCAAATCATTTATTCACAGATTTTAATAAGGCCAACGACAAATGGGAAAATCTGAAGTTTCTAGAAAATCAATCATAATTAGAGTGAAAATTACATATTTATTTCAATCAGGCCCGTAGCCAGGGGTTCCCCCTTGTCCAAAATTTATTTCAAAATCATGCAATTTTTCACCATTCAAAGCACTTTTTAAGTGATTTTGGTCATTTTTTGGACCAAAATTGTCACAAGTGAACCCCCTGGAATTTTTCAAAAAGTCCCCCCCCCCTTGGCAAATCCTGGCTACGGGCCTGTCAATGCTTACTTAAATGTTAATGCTGCTTCAATGTACCCAGCAGCAAACATAAACTCTTCAGAGGTTACATTCTGCCCATATCCAGCTTTGATGTCCAGTATTCCCCAACCTGATGTTTGTAAACCATCCTTGAAGTAACCGTAAGCAGCGCCTTTGGGATCTGCTACTCCCATTTGTAGTGATGCTTTACCATTCTTCATGTACACTGTAGCCTTGTTATAGATGCTATTCCCTGAAATGACCCAAATATATATAATTGTTCTATGTTAATACAGGAACTAAGCAACATCAAAAGGGAGAGGTTGTGACTATTGTAGTTCTAAAGACACTATAAAGAAGAGATGAGGAATATAATACCAGGTAAACAATGACAAACATTGAAACAGCCCAGGCCCATAGCCAGGATTTGCCAAGGGGGGGGGTCACTTTTTGAAAATTTCCAGGGGGGTTCACTTTTGACAATTTTGGTCCAAAAATGGCCAAAATCACTTAAAATGTGCTCAGAATGATGAAAAACTACATGATTTTGAAAGAATTTTTGGCCATCGACCCCCCCCCTGGCTTACAGGCCTGTAGCCAATAAATTGTTAAAAAACATAAAAATGTCCAAAATAGCCCAAACATGTATGTCCATCATTTGAAAAATAAATTATCTCCAGATCAGTTGCAACGTAGCATTACACTTATCCCACATCAGGACTGTTTCCATATAAACTAAATTTTCAACTTTTAAGAAACCTTCATTGTATAGATCCATGCCAATTATATATATTATATTTTTTCAAAAATACATTAATATTTTAGGTACAAAACACTTGCATATGATTGCTTTTGGTTGTGAATTTTGATGAGAGACAATGTTTTCTATTGTAATTCTTATTTTCAAAAAATATCATAGCTGCATGGAAATCCCTAAATTACATAAAATTAATTATCTCAAATATACAAATGTAACTGTGAGCAAAAAAATATGAAAATGCAATAAGGAGATTACTAAGGATCAAAATAGATGTTGATCTACAAGCATAAATAAATGAATGAGTGAATGTTTGAAAGCCCATATTCCAATATTGTCTAGGGATGATTGGAACCTTTATTCAAACCCGATACTCCATTGCCCTGCATAGATCAATTTGTAACAATATTACTCATATTTTGAAGATTAGAACTACCAATGGAGTACTTGGTCCAAAGAGAATCTTACAGAAGTATTTTTACTAAATTGTCTCACGCAAGGAAACAGAATATTGAGTTTGAATAAAGGCTGCCAATCCTCCTTGATTGTCTCAAGCAGGACGTCTATCACAGTAAGTTGTATCAGGTTCTTTTTAGTCCTTTCTAGAGGTTTTTGTTTATTTCAGTATAGGGACTAGCTTGACCTATACTAGCCCTATTTACACTACAAGCGACATTTCAAGAAGTCTTAGCTAAAACATTTTAGAAAAATTATGCTGAGTACACCACCATTTTCAAGACGTCTTACGAAATATGATTGAGTTTACACTTGTTTTTCTAAAACGTCTTAGAGATATGTAGGCATACATGTTAAATGAAAAAACGTTTTGGCCAAGATGTCTTAGGGCTCTAGTGTAAATCCAACAACTGGGTGTGAGGACGAGCAAAAACCTCCATGACTCATTTATCACAGGCTGGTATCGAAATATTTGTCCGCTGTGACGGAGCATGCTATTTTTCATAAAAACACTAAGAATACTTCACGATTTATTTTTTAACTCATATGTTTCGTTAAGTACAAAATTTCTTACTCCATGCAATGGATATATCATTTGCAGGTAACTTTCACTTCTGTTTGAAGTCCAATTACGCTGGGAAGAAAAGCTATTGAAAATGGCGCCGGAGTATCAAACTTCAAAATGTACCATTTCTTGTTTAACTTTCTAATGGCACGATATAGTGACACGATAATATTTACACATGGTTTCAGCATAACTATGAAGGTATAAATGAGATGTTTCAATGTATTTGGGCTTTTTAATTCTTTTTCTAAAAATAATGTTTAATTTTTTTGTCCGCTATGACGGAGCAGTTGCAAATGTAAATTGTGAAAATGCTCCGTCATTACTTCGGTCCAAAGCCTTCTCTATATTCCGGCTTTGAGGAGGAAGATTGAGCTGCCTTAGTATTATAAATATTGTAAATCATTGTGTCACACGCACAGTAAATATGGCATAATAATATGAAATATACCTTTATGTATAGATTTGAAGAACAACAGCTCACACCCCCGTCTGAATCTATTGTTATATTTGATTTCTTTAAGCGAGAATAATTTCAAATTTTATTCACGTCCAGAACCGGAAGCCATTTTTAGCTACAGCGAGAAAATTTCAACATGTTTCAAACTCCGAAATGAAATTTTGAAATATCTAAATCCAGACAAGCAACGCTTCATCCTAAATATGATTAATATTCTTAAAAATATTTATAAAATTTATTAAAAATGAGTTCTAGGTGCGTGTAGGTGCGTGTAGCACCTTTTCTAGAGTACATACGAAATCAATGAAGTTACGTCTAGCTATAAGCTAGAGACTCGAGTAACTCCGTCACAGCGGACAAAAAATATTAATATTATTTTTTATAAAAAAAATTAAAAAGACCCAATGCATTTATATATCATGAATACATTCAATAGATTTTACTCCTAGCGTTATTGGACTTCAAACAGAAGTGAAGGTTACACGCAAATGATATATCCATTGCATGGAGTAAGTAATTATCTTTGATAACGAAACATATGAGTTAAAAAATAAATCGTGAAGCATTCTTTGTGTTTTTATGAAAAATATCATGCTCCGTCACAGCGGACAAATCTTTCGATACCAGCCTGTGTTTATATATAGTTCAAACTGTAGATGAATTTTACTTTTGTTCATAAATTTTTTCCTTTTTCTTTAGCTTTGATTGACTTATTGCAGCACAGCACTTGTATTACTATTCATTTTTACAAACTCTTATCACCCTTGATTGCGAATTCGTATGTTTTATGAGCAATATAACAATTGATTTACCTCTGGCTATACCCAGGACCCAGAGGAAAAGACAGAAACTATAAAACACTTTAAAATTGACGTCTGCCATTTTGAACAGTCATGTGATTTTTCATAACAAGCAAATTCTAGTCTAACGAATTTCCTCCTATTTATTTTACGTTGATAAGTTATCAATTATAAATACTTTATCTGGGGTAATTATAATCGAACTTAAGCACATTTCTTGAATTTAAAAAATTATTAACTGTGTAAATTCTTTCAAGTGGTTTATATGTGTAGGAATTATTTATCTCGTCACTTACCCGCCATCTTTGAAGAAAAGCGAAGTTTTGAAAAGTCGACTAAATATATTCCATATATTGGGGCAGTACACGTACAAGTTAGACAATGTAAGTTCAATATTGTTAATTTTAAATTGTAAACTTTATTTCTTGAAATGTTTTTGCATTGTTTTACAAACGATTCTTCTAAATTTATTAGGAATAATGCACATGTTGCATTTTTCAATAATTTTTTAATTTCTTGATTCATTCAGATTCTTTGATTCAATTGATTTTAATTGGATAGCCTAGAATCTAGTATTGGGCTACCTTCTTCCAAGAGCCATCTCCCTGTTCCAGCCTTGCGTAAAATATATATCATCTCATCTCATGTATCCTTTCCTTTATAATTGTGCTCTCACAATAAGTTCTAGTTCAACGTCGTTAAACTCAATAACGGCGTTCTTTACTATTAGGAATTTTCTTGGGGCCGTTATTGAGTTTAACCTCTTTACTATTCTTTCCTTTGATGCAAGTTCTGGATCCATCGAAACCATTTTGCCGCGATAACATGCAATTGATACTTGACAATAATATAAAAACACATAACATCAAGCGATTTAACACAATATTATTGTGTTACATGTTCATTTATACTCGTAAAATGAGGCTACACTTACCAATCTCTAAAATGACATTTCCGCATGTCCGTCATTGTGTCTGTTCGTCTGAGGGTCCCGGATCGTAAAATTAAACTACAAGCGAAACGAAATTGTTGTCAAATAGAGTCCATTTCACTGCTTCATTTCGTCAGTAGAACGGCAAAAATAAGAAATTGGGAGACCATTGTGCAATAATATATGGAAAAGTATATTCATAATGTACATGAATGACATTTGTATATCTTGGATTGCTTCTAGTTTGGCTTATAAAGTGTGTGGCCTCTTATATTTGGATGTTTCTCTGCCATGTTATTTTCAATAAGATTAACATGGCTGAAATTCTTCAAATTACAAGACGGCACAGGCTTATTGCACAAAAAACTAAAAAATCTGAAATATACAAATGTCATTCATGTACATTATGAATATACTTTTCCATATATTATTGCACAATGGTCTCCCAATTTCTTATTTTTGCCGATCTACTGACGAAATGAAGCAGTGAAATGGACTCTAGATTGATAATTATTATCGCGATTACTCGCATTAAAAGATAAATTTTGAGGATAACAGGTATCTTTGATTGATTTATATAGCGCGTGTATACACGCAAAACAGTTATTAATTGCAAACCTACTGTTTGTAAATGTAGTGCCGCGATGACGGTTAATTTCAGATACGATTTGCAATTTCGATGTTACCGAAACTGACCGACATTTTCGTTATATTCCAAACCTGTCTCCAATATTTTCGTAATTATGCATCAATAGGGTCTAAGGGGGATACGGGATGGTGTGTATGTATTCATTTGAGCTCTGATCATTTGTCGGAATCGTCGATTGGCGATCGAAATGTCACTTCGACATCGACATAAGCGTCCAAGGTCGACATAGAACGACATAGAACTAATACGATGATAAACAAAGAACATACCTTAATTTCCCAACATACTTTTTATGTCCCCATCACATAGTGTGGGGCAATATTGTCGGCCTAGGCGCGTCCGTCCGTCTGTCCGTCCGTCTGTCTGTCTGTCCGTCCGTCCGTACGTCCGGCAGTTTTCTCCAAAACCGCTACCGATATCACCTTCAAATTTTCAGGGATAACTTATGAGTGCATACAGATGTGGACGAAAAAGTTTCAAGTCGATACCTACTTCCTGTCGGCCATTTTGAAGTCAAATGCTAAAATCCTTGTCTGCAAACTTTAAGAAAAATGGCTTCACTGTTGCTTTTAAAACGTTAACATCCTGTTCAGCTCACTTGATTCTAGATCTGATTAGGTTTTGGACCTGTTAGCCCAGTCATGGCAGCCATTTTGAATGTTTTAAGAAAAGTTAGCGTGCGATAATACTTTGTATCATATTGAATGGTGTTTTTGAGTTTTCATACTTAGACTATTTAGTAGGTTTATAAAAAAATTCAGGTGTACTTTATTGTAAAAGCCTATGTTATTGTTAACAGTAGTTATATGTGCTAATTTTGTAAAAAGAAATCAGCAAAAAAGTATAATCACTTTTTTATTGTCGGCCATTTTGGATTTTTCCATCCTAAAATTTTGTCTGTAAAGTCTTGTCTATGCGTTTTCAGGCGAACCGATTGGTAGATCATTTTCAGGGATGATTATTAGTATGAAAATCTAGATTTGATTAGTTTTTTGGCATTCTGGGTAAATGTCAAGGCAGCCATTTTGGATTTTCCGTCCTAAAATCTTGTCTGTGAAGTCTTGTCTACGCGTTTTCAGGCGAACCGTTTGGTAGATCATTTTCAAATTTTCAGGGATGATTCTTAGTATGAAAATCTAGATCTGATTAGTTTTTTGGCATTCTGGGTAAATGTCAAGGCAGCCATTTTGGATTTTCCGTCCTAAAATCTTGTCAGTAAAGTCTTGTCTATGCGTTTTCAGGTGAACCATTTGGTAGATCAATTTCAAATTGTCAGGGATGATTCTTAGTATGAAAATCTAGATCTGATTAGTTTTTTGGCATTCTGGGCAAATGTCAAGGCAGCCATTTTGGATTTTCCGTTCTAAAATCTTGTCTGTGAAGTCTTGTCTACGCGTTTTCAGGTGAACCGTTTGGTAGATCAATTTCAAATTTTTAGGGATGATTCTTAGTATGAAAATCTAGATCTGATTAGTTTTTTGGCATTCTGGGTTAATGTCAAGGCAGCCATTTTGGATTTTCCGTCCTAAAATCTTGCCTGTAAAGTCTTGTCTACGTGTGTTCAGGTGAACTGTTTGGTAGATCAATTTCAAATTTTTAGGGATGATTCTTAGTATTAAAATCTAGAACTGATTAGTTTTTAGGCATTCTGAGCAAATGTCAAGGCAGCCATTTTGGATTTTTCCGTCCTAAAATCTTGTCTGTAAAGTCTTGTTTTCTGGTTTACTGTTTGACGGATCAATTTCAAATTTTCAGGGATGGTTCTTAGTATAAAAATCTACAGCTGACTAATTTTTTGGGCATTCTTGGTAAATTTTAAGGTGGCCATTTTGCATTTTCAATTCCAAAATTGTAACAGTAAAGTCTTGTCTACTCATTTTCAGGATAACCATTAGACGGGATCACCCATTGGTGGGGACATATTGTACACATTTGTGTTCTTGTATCACTCTTGTTGAGATATGGTTGCATAATCTAACAGAATTTACAGCGAATTTAAATATTTTGTTTTTCCCCCATTTTATTTTTATATTCTCGTTTCACATCTCGTCTAGTTTTCGATCTCGAGAAGTCGTCTGTAGGGCCTCTGATCGGAACGGTAAGTCATTTTATTCAATTTCGTTGATATTCTTACAAAGTTTTAACTAGAATTACAATCCGTGTTAAAGATTACTCCCCAGAGATATTTTATTTCGAAACTTCGTGTGTGGCTTTGGCTTGCATGGCTACTGGGCTATTCGAAGTGCTGCAACGAGACGAGCCGGATCCACCGGAAGTGTAAGTAGCAGAACAATAACAATGGCGGTTCGCATTCAAAGTTTGTTTATTTACTTCTCGATCTCTAACATACATACATATATGCATATAAATCTATAATATCAATATAAAGTACATGCGAGGGGTCGGGATAGACAATGTATGCTCATCTAAGTTAACTATTTTTGATTTTTTTTTTCTTTGCCGATTTTTTGTGGAGATTTAATTCCGACAATCGATACTGTCGTCGACCTTGGGCTTCGACATGTCGACATCAGATTCCATTTCGACCAGAGCTCTAGTATTCATAAGGTATGTATGCATGCTTGAATCACATTCTTTGTGTAATATTACCATGGTTTCAGGGTTTAATTAGTTCCGCTTGTCGAAACCTGCGGAACGATTAAATTAACGCATCAAGGGCAAAATGATCATGGAGGTGAGGCCTAGCCGGGGCCATAAGACATGTCAGATAAGAAACGAGGCCCAGGCTAGGTCTAATGTTGTTGGACTAAATAAGTTCATATCCATACCAGTTTTTAGATACAGTGGGGAACATAAAGAATTACTTAAGTAATGAATAATACATGCTGTCGCACATGTAATAAATTCTTACCTCAGTGTATTCAGTGCTCTATTTTCTCTGTCCCAGTAAGTCCAAATATTGTGGAATTTGTGTCCATAATGACAAGTAAGAACTTAAAAATTTGAAGTAAACATTCACATGTTATGCCGACTCTTCAAATGTTGAGGGGGTTTTGGACCCTGATTACGCCGCAAGGAGGATTGGCTCCCAGAATGCAACATGACACGTGCCAGCTTTCAAAATGCTGTTCCGCCATTTTGAAACCTTTCACGAGTAATAAGGATAACTGGTGTTGCATTCTGTGAGTCAATCCTCCTCCTTGGATCACAAACATGGCGATTCATGAAGACATTCATTAGATTTGGTAGGAATTTATTCATCATTTGCAGGTATGAAGCTCTGGATTCATTTATTGTGCAACTTAAAGTGAACGGGAATTTTTTTTCCACCGCTAGGAAGAGTTTGAGACACAAAACTTAGAATTGAGCTTATTGTGACAACTTTTGATGGTTGAGGTTTATTTATGTCTCCCACTTGTGGTCGTGGTTGGAACGAAAACTTTTTTTTTAAAAATTGCTATACCTGCATATGTTATTTTCTAGTACAAAATAAAGTATGAAGGCATCTGTGTGTTTCCTTGATTTAAAATTTAACTGTACTGTACTTCATAATGATTCTGACACATGTTTGCGATAAAAATGTCTTGAAAATTCTGCCTACAGCTTTGTAAGAATGAAAAAATTAAAATTGTTCCTTTGAGGTTCCGACATTTTGTTACCAAAATGAACCGTTTCAGTAACCAGAGTAGTGGAGTGGATCACCAGTGGTAAAGAAGACCTTCGATAATAGCTTATGTTAACTATATTATCTAACTATATTATCTGAAACATAGAGATAGGAAACCTCAATACTCATAATATTACCAGCCCTGTAGACCCCCCCCCCCCATCCACACATTTTT